AAAATGTGTAAGGTCATTAAAGAAGACATAAAGAGAAAAACTATACTATATCATGTGCAGAAAGTTTCAGTTTCTTAAAGATGTGATCTCTCTCTTTATGCATCTAGTTATTGAAAGACCATTAAGAGTTGGATGTGGTGACAAAAGCTTGTCATCCCAGCTACTCTGGAGCCTGAGGTGGGAGGATTGTGAGTTCAAAGGCAGCCTGGGCAATTTTGCAAGACTCTGGAAAAAGAGTCAGGAGGGGTGAGGAATAATCAATAAAAAGGTGAAAGAGTGTGTTAAGTCAGTGTGGGAGAAGATGCTTGCACGGATAACAAAGGATTTAAAATCTGTAAGATGTCCTCCAAATCAGTCTGAAGGTAACAAAACAATCCAGCAGAAAATTTGGCCAAAGATTAAAAATAGGCAGTTCACAATTTAAACATATGCAAAAATGCCCAACCTCATTAATACAGAAGTGAAAAAGAAAATTTAAAATGAGGTAATATTTCATATTTATCAGACTGACAAAAATCAAGGGTGATAGTGGGGAAGTATTGGCAAGAACGTAAAACAATAGGCACATGGCTGATGTCAAAACAAATTGGATCAGTCACTTCAGAAAATCAATTTGTTAATACCTAGTGTGGTTGAAGATGCTCACATCTTACAACTTAGTAATTTTACTCTTAGCTATCTTACAGAGAGACTTTACACATGTGTATAATAAATGTATGAAGAATTGTTCAAGCTGGGCACAGTGTCACATGCCTGTAATCCCAGCATCTCTGGGGTTCAAAGCCAACCTCAGCAATGACGAGGTGCTAAGCAACTGAGTGAGACCCTGTCTCTAAATAAAATACAAAAGAGGGCTGGGGATGTGGCTTAGTGGTTGAATGGCCCTGTGTTCAATTCCTGGTACCCATGCCCCCCAAAAAAGAATTGTTCAAATTTTTTGTACTATTGCACTATTTGCAATAGTAAAAAAAAAAAATTATGAACAGGCTAAATTTCACTCAGCAAGTATCTGGATAAATTAAGTGTAGTATTTTCACAAGTGGAATCACTAAATAGGGTGAAACAATAAACTCGGTTTGCATACATAAACATGGATGAATCTCACAAACATGATTTTACATATTATTTATTGACAGATAATGATTGCACCTTTTCAGGGGATACAGTGTGATGTTTTGGGACACTTAAACATTGTGTATTGATCAACTCAGGACACTGAGGTTATTCATCATCTCAAGCATTTTATCATTTCTTTGTGATGAGAATATTCCAGATCCTCTCCTCCACCTGTTTTGTGAACGCTGATCACTCTTCAGTGTCATAGAACACCGTAAGGTATTCCTCCTCTCTGACTGTGACCTGGTAACCAAGCTCCCCGTGCTCCTCCTCCTCCTCCCCTCCCTGGCCTCTGAGATCCACTGTTCTGCTCTCAACTTCCATGAGCTCCGCTTTTTGGATTCCATGCATGTGAGAAATCATGCAGTATTTGTATTTCTGTATCTGGCTTATTTCAGTTAACATTTGGAACCCCAGGTTTGTCCATGTTGCCACATGTGACACAGAATTTAATCCTTTGTGTGTATGATATTGGAGATTGAACTCAGGACCTCGCTCCTGCTAGACAAGTGCTCTACCACTGTATCCCCAGCCCTTTTGAAAAATTTATTTGGAGACAGTGTCTCACTAGGTTGCCCAGGCTGGCCTCAACTTGAGATCTTCCTGCCTCAGGGATTGAATCCTTTTAAATGGCTGAATAGTATTATGTTTTGTATAGATAAATTTTCTTTATCCACTTGCCTATCATCTGAAACCTTGGTTGATTTCATTTTTGGTCTATTGTGAATAGCACTATGATAAACGTAGGAGTGCAGGTGACTCCTTGATATATTGTTTTTGTGTCCTTTGTATATAGACCAAGAGCAGTATTGCTGGGTTGTATGGTAGTGTTCTCTCTCTCTCTCTCTCTCTCTCTCTCTCTCTCTCTCTCTCTCTCTCTCTCTCTCAATTTTAAATATTTAAAAAAATTGTTGGTGGGCCTTTACATTATTTATTAATTTATTTATATGTGGTGCTGAGAATTGAACCCAGTGCCTCACACCTACTAGGCAAGTGCTCTACTACTGAGCCAAAGTGGCAGCTCTCTCTCAAATGAGGATTAAATCTAGGAGTGTTCTACCACTGAGCTACACTCCTGGTTCTTTTTATTTTGAATCAGGGTCTCACTAAATTGCTGAGGCTGGTCTTGAACTTTCGATCTTCCTGCCTCAGTCTCCTGAATGGTGATTCCATTTTTAAGTTTTTGAGGAAACTCCACACTGTTTTTTGTATTGGCTGTACTGATTTACACCCCCCAACAGTATGTAAGAGTTCTATTTTCTCCACATCCTCATCAGCATTTGTCATTTTTTTTTTGTCTTTTTGATTTTAGTCATTGTAACTGAGGTGACATGATATTTCAGTGTGGCATTTTTGTTAGTGTGCTTTTTTTTTCTATACCCAGAATTGCTTTGCCACTCATCTACACCCCAGCCTTTTTGTGTATGTATTAGGAATTGAACCCAGGGGTGCTTAATCACTGAGCCACATCCCCAACCCTTTTTAAAAATATTTTATTTAGAGACAAGGTCTCTCTAAGTTGCTTAGGACCTTATTAAGTTGCTGAGACTGGCCTCAAACTTTTCATCCTCTTACCTCAGGTCCCTAGTCACTGGGATGCAGGCATACATCACTGGGACCAGCTCAAAGTGTTTGGGTTTGTGTTTTCTTGATAATTAGTGATTTTGAACATTTTTTTTTCATATACTTGTTGGTCATTTTTATCTTCTTTTGGGAAATGTCTATTCAGATCATTGGCCAACTTTCAAATTGGATTATTTGTTTTTTTCTGTTGAGTTTTTGAGTTCATTAGATACTCTGGATATTAATTCTTTGTCAGATGAGTACTTTTACGCATTTCCCCCCATTCTGGGGGTTGTTCTGTCGCTAATGATTGTCACCTTTGCTAAGCAGAAGCTTTTAGTTTGTTGTGACCCCGCTTGCCTACTTTGTCTTTTGTTGCCTAGGCTTTTACATTTTTATTCAAAATATCCTTGCCTACACCAATGTCATAAAGTATTTTCCCTGTTTCCTTCTAATAGACAAACGAAATTTAAATGAAAAGAGCAAATTGTCAAAGATATGCTAGTATATAGGCTATTTATGTAATGCCTAAAAAATGCAAAAAAAAAAAATAACAGGTCTTTTTAGGGATATCTATGTGGCAAAGATATAAATACATGAGCATGACAGGCTTCACATTTTCAATTGGGTTACTTTTGTGGAAAGAAATTTGATTAATGAAAGAGCCACAAGAGACTTCCTGTAATAGTTTATTTTTTAAGCTGAGAGGTAAGTATATGGTTGTTTGTTATATTAGTCTCTGTGTCTTTTTGTGTATCTTAAATGTTACAAAGTAGTTTCAACAACTAAAAAGTATATGTAAATGGTTGTCTTGTGGAGACATTTGAGGACAAATAGAAACACCAGCTGCTCTAATGTAATTCAAATGAGAGGTGTGAACTGAGGTCCAATTTCCAGTGACCACCTATGACTTATACTTAAAAGATCACACATTCAAAAACCTTTCCCTCCAGAAGCCTTCTCTGTCCCCTTCACCTGGCTGCTTACCAGTCACTCCCTCTGAAACCTAGGAGTCTTGCTGGCCACCTGTCTTTTACGTGCATCCTGGAGTTCAGTATCAAGTCCTATCCTCACTGTCCACACAGGCTATCTGGAACATGTCCTCTTCTCTCCCATACCACCACTGTCCCCTCAACATATCTGGTTCACCCTGGATGACTGTTGCAATGACTAACTAGGCTACTCACCTTTGCCTCCCTGCCCCACCTCTAGTTGCTGTTTCTCTTATACTGAGCAGCAGCCCAGATTTCTTAAAAATCAGCATCAGTTAAAGAAAATGTGGTATTTGTACACAATGGAATATTACTTAGCCATAAAAATAATGGCTTTATGAACTTTGCTGGCAAATGGATGGTTCTGGAGATGATTATACTAAGTGTAAGAAGCCAATCCCCCCAAACCAAAGGCCGAATGTTCTATCTGATATGCTGATGCTAACACACAACAAGCAGGAGAGGGGAAGAGTAGAAATTCATTGGATTAGACAAAAGGGAATGAAGGGAAGGGAGGGGAGATGGAATAGGAAAGATAGTAGAATTAATCAAACATAACTTTCCTGTGTTCATCTATGAATACACCACCAGTGAAACTCCACATCGCATACAACCACAAGAATGGAATAAGTTATCCCAATCAGAATAAGTTATACTCCATGTATATGTAAAATGTCAAAATACACTCTACTGTCATGTACATTTAAAAAGAGCAAAAATAAATAAATAAATCTTAGGGCCTGGGGATATAGCTCAGTTGGTAGAGTGCTTGCCTTGCATGCACGAGGCCCTGGGTTTAATCCCCAGCACCACACACACACACAAGCTATATAAAAAAATAAATCTTAAAAAAAAAGAGCATCAGTGGGGCTCGGGATGTAGCTCAGGGGTAGAGTGCCTGACTAGCAGGTGCAAGGCCCTGCGTTCAACCCCCAGCACTACCAAGAAAAAAGAAAGAAAGAAATGTATATCAGTTCTCATCGCTTCCTTGCTAAAAATCCTTCAAGGCTGAGATGACAGTGGGGTTGGTCCTTGCCTGGGCTCCAGGGCCCAGTGGTCTGGCCTCCAACTGCTTCTCTGGCCCGTTCTCCTCTCTCACTGACTGGGGCCCATACAGTCAGTCATTATTCCCAAGCACCTCATTTCAAACAGAAGACACCAAAGGGGAGGGAGTCGGGCACACTCGGAGCGCTCTGTGTGCCAGGGACTCTGCTTGGGTTTCTCCAGCATGCGGGTGACCCGGATTGGGTCGCCCAGGCAGGGAGTGGGCCGGGACTGTGGGGCTCTGCTTTTTGGTTGGATCTCTTCAACCCTTGCCACCCCCTGCAGATCTCAGAGATCATCTTTGTGTCCATCTGCACCTCCGAGTTTGCCATGAAGGTCTACGTAGACCCCATCGACTACTGGAAGGATGGTTACAACATGTTGGATGTGTTCATCCTCATCATCATCTTCATTCCCTATCTGCTCCGAAAGATCAAGGGCAAACACTACCCCTACCACAACATCGCCGAGGGCATACAGTCCCTGCGCATCCTCAAGCTCATCCCCTATAGCCGAGGCATCAGGGTGAGTGCCCTGGGAGTGCCAGGGTGCTGGGAGGTCAGGCTGCAGGCCACACTGCCACCAGCCCCATAAGAAAAGGTAATTTGACTGCTGTCTTCCAGTTCATGTGCCCTTCTGTGTGGTGGGGTGACCTGTACTGGCATTGTTATCTTGATCTTAAGATTCGCTGGACTTGGTGGCACATGCCTAAAATCCCAGAGACCCAGAAGCCCGAGGCAGGAGGATGGCAAGTTCTAGGCCAACCTCAACAATTTATCAAGACCCTGTCTCAAAATAAAAAATAAAAAGGGCTGAGGATATGGCTCAATGATAATCGCTCCTGGGTTCAATCCCAGTGGGAGGGTTAGGAGGAATACTTGGTCGAAATCTTAAGATAAACAATGGCAGGAAAGATTTTATTAGCTCCATTTTACAGATGAATAAATTGAGACCTAGGGTCACTCAGCAGCTAAATGTCAGGGCTGAGGATTGAAAGGAGTGTCTGAAGCAGATGCCCTCTGAACTTCTGTCCCATGCTGCAGAGTGACTAGCTTTTGTTCTTTTTTTCCTGTTTTGTGGTCTGGGGATGGAACCCAGGGTCTTGCACTCTACCAATGAGCTCCATTCCCAGCCACTGACTGACTTTCTTATGGGACAGATGTTTTGAACTACACACCTAGGAATCTCCAGCTCTTCTGGTGACTTGGGCCAGTGGCTGCTTTACCAAGACAGCCAAAGGACTACTGCTCCTCTCAGTGGGAAGCCTCCTCACTTTGTTGAGCAGCCCAGCAAGCGCTGCTTCCCCCAAGAAGTCTTCCTGGGTTGCCCCAGTCATGGGGTGCTTGGCCTTGCCTGAGCTCCGAAGCTTTCAGAACAAGCCTGGGAGCTGACCCCTTGTCCTCACCTGGGCTGGCAGGCATGCGTCCTGGATACACCGTGTTTGTCCTGGCAGCTGTTCTCCAGGAAGGGGCTGGCCTGGGCCTATTTGTCCAGTCAGGGTGTGTCACGTATCCTGCTGTGATAGCCAGCCCTGGTCCTAGGGGGAGAAGGGACAGGGCCTGGGAGCAAGCCCCCCCCCCCCAGTCCCTCATCTCTTGCCCTCATGTGGTCACATGCCTGTGTGTCCAGCCCTCTCTCCGCCCCTTTTCCTCCCCAGTCTTACTTCCTCACTAAGCTCTGACTTCTTCCCCTCCCTCCAGAGCGCAGAGCCTCTCGAGGTTGCCAGATGCGGTGGCCATTTCCCTGGGCAGCCTGGTCACTGCTTCTCTTTCTCATCCTGACCTCTGGTGGCGTTCTTTCCTCAGGACCGTGCCCTGCCTTCTCTTTCCCTCCGCCCTCTGCATATTCTCTCTGGAGGATCTTTTCTGCTTTCTAGGACTCTCCACCTGCCCGTGCCTCTGTCTGTGACCTTCAGACCCAGTCACCTCCTGAACAGCTCATGCGCTCCTCAAGCGCGTGCCTAACTGCAGGTTCATCACCTGCCCCCACCTCTGCCCGCAGGTCCCCAAACCCTGGCTCCTCCTCCACTATTTTATCTTTTGGTGGAGAGTGTCCCCCACTCCTATTCAGTAGGCAAGTCATAAATCTGAGTGTCAACTTGGCTCTTCTCTCTTAAAGTCTTGTCACGCGGCCCCCTAAATAGTTGCTGACTTGTCCACGTCTTTTCATCCCTGCCACCGTCAGCCTCCATCTGGATTCCCGGGTGTCCTGGGCAGAAGTGCCTCAGCAGCAGGCATGAATCTTCTAAAGGCACTTCAAGTCACGACACCTTTTGCTTCAAATCCCATCTTCATGGGTCAGGGACAGCCCCTGGGATGTGACCTAGAAGTGGGGGAGGGAAGTGTCTGAGGTGCTGGGTATTGGAGTTGGAGGCAGGTAGGGCTGAGGGTAAGACAGGTGGATAGAAAAGGAGACTGGAGGTCCAAGGGGTCAGACCGGTGGGGGTGCCTCAGAGTGAGAGAGATCAGAGGGAGGAGTAGCTCAGCTTTTCCTGGGGCCTGGAAAAGCTTCAAGAATCACTAACGATGAGGACGTTCAGGGAGGAAGTGGTCTAGATCATGTGTCATCTGCAAAGATCCCCGGGGGGTTGGCCTCAAGATGGGGTGGGGAAGGAGGTAGTGAGCCTGGAAGAGAGATTTCAAGTCACGAGGAGGAGTGGGAAGCCAGAAGTTTGGCCATGCCCAGAAATAGGGACTTTGCCCATGGAGTCAGGGGCTCCAGGGACGAGGCAGAGGATGGCCCCCTGAATCCCAGGTCAGTGAGGGATAGGCAGCTCCCTGGAGAGGGCTGCTAGGGTAATCTCAGGTAAGAGGGGATGCTTAGGTGAAGCCGGGAGAGAAGGCACCGTAGGACATGGGTGCCAAACCCCTGAGGGAGTCACGTGAGGAAGGGAGAGGTGGGTGGCGGGCTGAGGGACCACGCAGGGAGAAGGACTGATGGCAGAAGGGCCTTCATCTTGGAAGGAAGTTGTTGTGACCCAGCTGGGCACCTTGTAAGGCCAGGGGCTCTAGCTACACTGGTCTTGGCTGTGTGGGGGCAGCTGGTCAGCAGGCAAAGACCTGAAGGTGCCCAAGGTTGAGAGCCTGCCAGGGGCAGCACCTCCTTCCAGCCCAGGGAGACTCCCTAGTGGCCCAGGGCCATATCCTGGAGCAAGCCAGGCTTTTCTTATGAATCCAGGCCCCTGCTCAGTCTTTGGTCCTCGTAGACATCCTCAGAGACCCGTGGGCACGCACACACCACGTGTACACCAATGTTTATCCCAGGTTTGGCCTTAGAGTTTTCTGTCAGTCACCAGAGGCATGCGTTCCAAGAGTGGTGCCTTGGAGACTGATGCCCTGGCTGTGGCTCTACTGTAGCCTCTGAAATGTCTCGGGACCTGGGTTCACAGGGGAACAAAGGTGACCCTGGATTGCATGGCTTTGTGTGCTGGTCTGGCCTGCTGGCCAAGGGAGCTGGGAGCTGCTGGAGGTGGGGACTTGCACCTCCATGCTAATGTGTGTGAATGAAAGTCTAAAGGAGCCCCGAACAGAGCTGATACTCTGGTACATCCTCGGCTCTCCACCCCTGATTCATTAAAATGACACTCTGCCCTCCACCTAATGGCAAAAAACTTGCTCCTCGAGGAAATCATTCCTTGTTGTTTTGTACATAGAGAATTCTGTTAGCTGGGTGCCACCTTGCTCTTGGTCATCTGCATTTTATCTGGACAACTTTCCCTGCTGGCTGTGAGCCCAGCTTCGTCTTCCTCTTCCCCACCTCTCTAGGGTCCCACCATTTCCCCCTTATCCCAGGGGCTGCCCAGGAAGACTCTCTCAGAACCCTGACCTGGCCACCTGCCCTGGCCACCACTCCCAAAAGTCCCAGGCATAAGAGAATAGCTGTGGCTGACCCAGGACCCAGGAGAACGGAACTGGATGCTGGGTATCGCTTCTCCAAAGAATGTGGAAATTTAAAACGAGATATCTACTCGAGGCCAGGCTACAGACCTCGAAAGCCCAGAACTTCCTCAGCGAAGGATCTCCTGACCTGTGGGGACCTGGGTGGCCATCCCCTGGGACTGGAATTCTGCCTCTTTCTTTTCTTCAATCCTCCCTCCCTTCCTCCCTTCCTTCCTTATTATTTTTTTAAGGTACCAAGGATTGAACCCAGGGGTGCTCAACTACTGAGCCACATCCCCAGCCCTTTTTTATGTTTTAAGAGACAGGGTCTCTCTAAGTTGCTCATGGCTTCACTAAGTTACTAAGGCTGGCTTTGAACTCATAATCCTCCTGCCCCAGCCTACCATATCGCTGTGATTACAGAGGTGTGTTACTGCACTTGGCAATTTCTGTCCCTTTCTGGATCTGTTCATTAAAGAGGCTGCCTGGATTGTGCCTCAACCAGGTAGTGGGGGTCCCACTGGAGAGTGTGACCTTATTACAACTACTTTTCTCAAGGCTGCTTGGCTGTGTCCTCAGGTGGGCTGGCCTGGAGGTGGGACAGCCAGCCAGACCTCTCCCTAGCCCTCTACACATGCCTCAGGTTCTGCCACTCGGGCGCCCCCTGCCCACCTGTGCAGACTGAATTTGCAGGCCATTGCTGGGTTTCCTGTTTCCTGTTAGCACTTACTGGTTTACTTTTCCAGGCCTTGGGAAGAAGTTATGCCTCTGTCTAGCAGGGAGAGAGATAGTGTTTTTTTTTTTTTTTTTCCTTTAATAGTCAGCTCTTTTGGAATGAATCTGAAAACACCAATTTTCTTCCCCCAGGGGGACGAAGAATGAACGGGCATGTGTTCATTCCTGCCAAACCATCCTGCATGTGGGGCAGCCTGGGGCTCTGGGGGTGTCTCTGCCTCCTGGAGTACCTCAACTGTCCAGACTTCACTGTCCTGTGTCCAGCTACAAGTACCCCTTTTCCTAGTGCTAATCGGCCTCTGTGCTCAGGGCTGCTGGCGGGTGGAGGTCGTGACATGAGGCAAAGGGTTTTGGAATTGGTCCCAGCTCTGCTGTTATACTGGAGTGTGACCCTGGCCAAGACAGTTTGCTCCTCTCAGTCTCTGACCCCTCATCCTGGAAAACTGATAATATCTATCTACCTTGAAATTATGTCTGTGAAACCATTTGAGGTAGGTGAACACATATGGAGCACTTATTGCATGCAAAACTCCAGAGAATGGAGAACGAATGATGGGGAGTCACACGATGTGCTGGGGAAGCCAGATCCCACTTCACAGAGGGAAGCCTGGGGACCTGATTTCAAAGGCAGGGTCCAGAAAGAATGGGAGCCACATTCCTCTGGGCCCTCTCTATTCTAACCTGCAGGTGACCTCTCTATTCTAACCAGGGCTGGCCCTCAGCTGAGAATCAGGAGCAGGATACCCTAAGATGTCCTCAGAGCCAGATGGGGAGTGGTTTGTGGTGACCTGAAATCCATGACCTGGGATCCTGTGTACCCTCTGCCCCTAGGTGACTGATAAGGGATGTTCGATTCTGGCAAATCAGTTAGATGGATGCAGCCCTCGATCTGAGCACATTTCTGATTCACTTCATTCATTCGACCACTAATTGTTCATCATGCTGTGTGCCAGGTATGGCACCAGATGCTGGGACAGTTGTGACCTGGGGCAGACTGGATCTCTGTCCTCTGAGATGTCCCGCCTGGCTCCCTGGCCTAGCTGCGTGTCCCTGCCTTGCAGACGCTCATCATTGCCGTGGGGCAGACTGTCTACACCGTGGCCTCTGTGCTCACCCTCCTCTTTGTCCTGATGTACATCTTTGCTATCTTGGGCTTCTGCTTGTTTGGAATTGTAGAGAACGGTGACCTGAATAACTGGGGGAGCCTGGCGTTGTCTTTCTTCACCCTCTTCAGCTTGGCCACGGTACTGTGTTTGGGAACAGTGGAGAGGGCGGGGACCTTATGGGACTGCCAGGTGGTGTGAGCAGGTGGCTGTGAGGGTCTAACGTGGGCTTTCCCCATATTCAGGTACTTAGTTGAGCCTGGGGAAGGTGGAGGCTGGCCTTCCAGCATGAGTCAGAGGCCAGGGATTCATCTCGGTCTCTGATCTTGTGACTCCGTGTAGCATTCCCATATGTCCCACAAGGCCGTCAAACTTGTCAGAGTCCTCAAATGATACTTCATTTGGATTAAGTTTAAGTTATGAATGAAACCCATGTTACATAGCCTTTTTGGAAACAGGCTGTTACAAACCCACCCAAGAATCAGGATGCAAGGCCCAAGTCCAGAATTCCAGACTGTTGAACTCTTTGAAAGAGTGGAGTCTTTTCAAAGGTGGGACTAGCAAGAGGCAATGTCCTCCCAAGGAAAATGACAGACTTTGAGGGGACAGACCCCAGGGCATGCTGGTCTCCATCCAGAGGTGTCCTGCGTTTCCAGGCCACCATGTAGAGGGGCTGAAAGGCTGATGTGGGGCAGAGGCAGTTTCCTCCTCAGTGAATCGGGGGCTTCCCTGGCACAGGTGAGATAGGGGCCTGCTCCACTGGGCCCTGGTACTCAGCAATCCCTGCCCTGCTGGACAGGTGGATGGCTGGACAAACCTCCAGGAACAGTTGGACATGCGGAATTTTACTCTGAGCCGGGTGTTCACCATTGCCTTCATTTTGCTTGCCTCCTTCATCTTTCTCAACATGTTCGTGGGGGTGATGATCATGCACACGGAGGTGAGGCTGTGCTTGGGGGTGGGGTATGGGAATGCCAGGTGCGACAGGCAGAGGTGTGGGCCGGGCCTCTGGGGAGAACGCAGAACGGTGTCTCTCTCTGAAACAGAGTGATGGTGGCCTGGTGGGCCCTTCCTGGGCCTCGCCACCTCTTGGCCATGAGCTTGTGCGTTTGCCTAGCCAACAGGAGGGTTGGCAGCTTGAGTTGGGGGCTGGCTCTGTTGGGGTGGATCTTTGTGCTGAAGGCCTGAACAACAGGCAAGAAGAGGCAAGGGGCGAGACCAGGTCACGGGCAGTGTGCTCCTTACCTCTACCCTTTGACTCACTAGGACTCCATCAAAAAGTTTGAGCGGGAACTGAAGCTGGAGAGGCAAGTCACCCTGATGGAGGAGAAGCAGGTGATTCTGAAACGGCAGCAGGAGGAAGTGGACAGGCTGATGAAGACACAGGTAGGCAGCGCCCCAGGCGGGGCAGCAGACAGAGAGAGGGACAGTCAGGGCTGAAGTACTGGCTGGGAAGAGGGCCCTGGTGTGGAGAGGGCAGGTGGCCTCAGGTTTTGTGGCCTTAGGTGAGGCAGGTACTTCTCCCGTATCTCCCATCGCCGAGCTTTCCTTCCTCGGTCTCTTTGTTTCTCTGACCCCCTTGGAGAGTCCAGGGCTGTAATGTTGGCGTCTCCTTTGTGGCAGAACTGCCCTGTGGGGCCTTTTGGGTCATTCAGCCTGTGCTTACTGGGTGCTAGGCAGCCCAGTCCCAGGTCACAGGATGGATGAGGATGAAGAGGCTCTGACAGGGTGTCACTCCATCTCGGTTTCCCCACACTTCGGAAGACAGAGGAGGAATTAACACAGCAGGCTGGAGGTTTTGGGTCAAGCACGATAAACCTGTGAGGGCTGATGCTGCTTCTTTTTTCTGCCTAAGCTTTGGGCGCCCTGCTGGGTCCCCTCATCTTTGGTATGACCCTCCTCAACCTTTTCTCTGAGATGACATCTGCCTGTCTAGGCTGTGTCTGGGGTTTTTCCAGGACTGGAGGACACACTTAGCCACTCTGAGACTCTCATGGGTTCCTTTGTGTGCCACCTGCCCCACATTGATGATGGTGGCTCATGAGGTTACCTCACCCATGAAGGTCCAGGCTCATCCTGGGGCTGGGAACAGACCTCTGCCAGGGGCCTATCATGGAAGGTTCCCAGATCTCCTTGCAGCGTGACTGCCACTTTTCTGTCATTACTCATTTTGCTTCCTTCTCTAGAGCAATGTTGGCAAGAGTTTCAGTGAGTTGGTGGAGGACTTCAAGAAGACTCTGCGGCACACTGACCCCATGGTCTTGGATGATTTTGGCACTAGCCTACCCTTCATTGATGTCTACTTATCCACTCTGGACAACCAGGACAATACTGTCAACAAGTCAGTCCCAGCCCCAGCCTTTCCTGGTGCCCAGGGCTTCCTCAGAGTGGGGGCTGTGTTGAGGACCATGGGAGGGTGGAGCATCCACGACCCATGTGTAGGGCAAGCTGGTGGGTTAGAGCCTTTCTGAGAGTGCAAGAGTCCATGAATATGTAGTCTGGGCTGCTGGGGAACTCTGCTGTCCCTCCCCAGTCCTCTCTCTCTCTCTCTTTTTTTTGGTACTGTGGGATTGAACTCAGGGGCACTTGACCACTGGCCCACATCCCAGCCCTATTTTGTATTTTATTTAGAGTCAGGGTCTCACTGAGTTAGTTGCTCAGCACCTCGACTTTGCTGAGGCTGGCTTTGAACTTGTGATCCTCATGCCTCAGCCTTCTGAGCTACTGGGATTAGAGGCATGCGCCACCGCGTCCAGCCCCCTTAATCCTTTTTGACTTATATAGAGATTCTGGCTCCTTCATCTCTCCAGGGCCTCCTTTCGAACCCCTTTTCAGGGGGCAGAGAAAGCATACTGGGTGGCAAGTCAGGGAGTGAGGAGGCTTTTGGCCTGGTTCTGCCACTACCTTCCTGTGTGACCTTGGGCAGGTCTCTGTCCCTTTCCCACCTGTCCCAAAGGAGCTACTGGTCTGATTAGATAGTAAAAATGTATGTGTGGGGCTGGGGTTGAGGCTCAGAGGTAGAGTGTGTACCTTGCATGCGTGAGGCACTGGGTTCGATCCTCAGCACCACATAAAAATAAATAAAGGTATTGTGTCCATCTACCACTAAAATTATATTTTAAAAAAATGTATGTGAAGCTCTGAGCTAGGCCTGGCCAGGGCTTGTAAGCCTAGCTGGAGTTATGACTGGCCATAGCTGAGCAGGAAGGATATAAATTCCTGGCTGTGGGCACTGGGGAGCCTCAGTGGGATCTTGAGTAAGGATAGACATAATTAGCTTGGTTTCTCATTGAAAATCCTCTAGAGGGCTTCTGAGATTGGACAAAACTAAAAGGAAGGACCAGGGAATGTCCACTTGGGGCTCAAAAGTGGTTCAGGTACTGACTGGGCACCACTGTACAGTTCCTGCTCTTCACGCTCTCGGCTCGACGTGTGAGGTGAAATCAATCACTCCAGGGGGCCAGAGGCAGAGTAGTGGACCTAGGATGCCAACCATCTGATGTGGCTCTCTGAAGTCCTTGCTCTTCACTGACCCCACTGATCTGCCAGAAGTGGTGAATGCACCCGAGCCAGCATTGGTGGGTAGGGGTTCTGGGCGGCAGGGAGCCCACCCTGTCCTCAGGTCCCCTCCCCTCCGGTGGCATCTTTCAGACTTCAGGAGCTGTACTACGAGATCGTCAACGTGCTGTGCCTGATGCTCGAGGACTTGCCCAAGGAGAAGTCCCAGTCCTTGCAACGGCTGGAAAAGAAGTAGCTGGAGCCCTGGGGGTCTTGCCGACCGGGAGGGACCTCATTAAACATGGAGCTGGACTCCAACTGCTCTGATGTTTCCCTGCCTTTGTGGGTTGGGCTGGAGAGGTGCTCCTGAAGTCTGATTCCCCAGGCCTCCATGACACAGCGCACCTACGGAGAGGAAGACTCACCCTGGCTAGAGGCCACATCTAGGCCCACAGTGGCTCTAGTCTCCCTGGACCCAGCAGCAAGGATCCCCTGGGCTCCTGGAGGGAGCAGACGAAGGAGGGTCCCCAGCAGACCCATAAAGCATGTGGCCCTGCTGATATTGGATCCTCTGAGGGCTGGTCTATGTGGGACCCCTTGCCTGGCATGGCTGCCACTCTGTGGACCCGCTATTGTGGAGACCTGTCTTTGGAAGTCTGCTCTGATTTGCCCTTTGGCTCCTTGCAAAGGGCACCACAGTCAGTGGCTCGGTTCTGCTGTGTGGGCATGGGAGGTAGCCAGGGAGCTCAGCATGGGGAGCAGCCCACTGGCAAGGGCAGCACCACATACCATGGCCCAGAGCAATGGCAGTAGCAGGTACTTTGGACTACTTTCCTGCTGTGGTTAGTTAGGACTCTTTACTGCATCATTCCTGGCCATACGAATACCAGAACTGCCAAGGTCTTTGTACCACTCTGGCCTAGACGTGACAGAACCATCTGTGGGCCCTAGAGGGACAGAAAAGCTGGCACCCCTTGCTCCAGATGGGCCATCACAGAGCCCTGGTGGTGCCTGCTCTGCTTCCGTTGTGAGAGAGTTTTCCTGAAGCCTGTCACCTTGGCCATGTCACCTGGGACAGAGTGGGGAGGCAGGCTTAGGGTAGAGTTGGGGGTGAGAGATTGGCACCTACAGTTGGGTACAAAAAGGTCCCAGACACACACTGGGGAGTCAGGTCACTAGAAAATGCCTGGGGTGGAAAGAGTGTGGCTGGATAACAGGGTCCTATGGTGGGGCCTGTGGGTTCCTGGCCTGGGGGATGGCACCCTGAGTCCACAGGACAAAGGCAGGTAGAAGGATCTTGTCCTTGTGGTTGATCAAACTCTGTTTGCTGAGTTGTGCTGGATACTGAGATTCAGTGACAAGGAATCTGTAGTCCCACCCTGGCCCTTTTTTTTTTTTTGTATTGGTACTGAACCTAAGATTCTTTACCATTAAGCCACATCCTCAGCCCTTTTTATGTTTTTAATTTTGAGACAGGGTCTTGTTAAGGTGCCAATGATGGTCTTGAACTTATGATTCTCCTAAGCTGCTTCAATTAGAGGCATGCACCACCACCCCCAGCCATCCCTGGCCCTCTTGATGCTCTTGGTTACATGCTAATTTTCCTGAGGAGGTGACAAGAATTGTTCCAATGCAGAGAGCACCTGCCTTCTAAAATACCCAGATCATTTCCATTTGCAAATGTTCACACTCCCAGGGTCACAGTGAAAATGACCAAGAGGAATTGCTGCTGGAGGTGGCCACATTGCGTCTCAGGACGGGGATGGTGCCTTGGTGGGATGACTTTGTGCTAATACCTGAGAGGTGGGCCTGAGGTAGGTGGGGGAGAGGCTTGGGAGTCCACCATTTGGGGATGACTCCAGGCTAAGAACTTCCAAGGGTGCTCTGGAAAGGGCACCATCAGAAGGTAGGCAGGCAGATATTGTCACTTGCTCACCTTGGGTTTGGCAGCACTGCTCAGGGAACATTAAAATATAGGTAGCACTCACTCTCATCAGGATCTTTGGGAATTGCCCTAGGCATCTGGGAGGGAATAAGAGATTTAAAAAATTGCCTCAGAGGGGTAAGGTAGAAAGCACCATGGTTTTAGAGTCAGGAGACCTGGCTTCTTTAATCGGCTGACTTGGGCAAGATGTCTGGTCTTTCGAAGCCTCAGATATTTCCTCTGAGAAATGGGAAAATAAAACTGACCAGCTACAGGGATCAAATAATAAAACAGACGTGAAAATGTGAGCTAAGGTGTTGCCCACTCATGACTGGGGCTTCCTGGCATCAACCCTCTGCTTCTGCTCCCTTCAACTCTGCTGGGGACAGCAGCTGTTGGCTGAGGGAACAACAGAAAAGTGTCAGAGAGGAAAAGATGGAGCAGAAAGCAAAGTGGAGGTCAGAGACCCGCAGAGGGGGTGTGAGTGGATTTCCAGATGGAGCTGGTTCAGAATGGGCAGGCTGCATGTCAGATGGGGAGACCTGGCCTAGAAAGGTGGCCCTGGGAATGGGCCACTGGGTTGTGGGTCAGAAAAGGGCAAGCCACCTGTAAGGGCACAAAAAGAAGACTTTCAGAGAGCAGAGAGCCGGGAGTGGGTGACGTGCACAGGGCTGGCAGAACAAACTGATGGATATTTGGCACAAAGTCCCAAAGCTGCATTTCTGTTTGGCTCTATTGGCCTGCAGAGCAAACACTGGCAGATTGGAATTCCCACTTGGGCTCTCACCAACTCAAACAAGCTTGGCCAAGGCCTTTGATTGATTTGCTTTGGGCAGAAGTGCTGTACTCGCTCTGGCCTGGCTATGGGAAGTAGGACCCTCCTCTTCAGCTCCCAGCCCTGGAATCCAGCAATCGGTCCCCAGCTCATCTCCAGACTGCCAGTTGGGGTTTGGAGAGGTGCAAAAGTCTGGGTTTAAGCTCTTGATCTTGCCCAGGCCTTTTCTCAGCTCTTGAGGGAATGATCTGGAATCCAAGACTGGAGGTGTTTGGAGAGTGGGCAGGTTGTGTGTGTGTGGCTTTTTTTTTAAGCTGCTTGTTGATCCCATCAGCAGAGAACAGTCACTATAGTGTGGCAATCCAGGGAGTGACTGAGAATATAAATTCTCCTGTTTATTCCAACAGTCCCTAGAAATCTGTTAAAGAGACACTAGAAACTTCACACCTTGATGTTGTCTTCAAATGTGGGTGAGACAGGATGCCTGCTAGGCCAAACTGGCCTTCAACAAGTCAGGTCTTGCTTTCATTGGGGTCTCCACCTGTTTTAGGCTCTATCCTGGCCCCAAATGGGCTTGCTCCCTTATTCTTTCTTTCTCTTTCCCCTTCCCTCCCTCTCTTCTTTCTATCCTTCTTTCTTTTGTACTGGGGATTAAACCCAGAGATGCTTAACCACTGTGCCACATCACTAGTCCTTTTTTTTTTTGTTGTTTGTTTGTTTTTGTTTAGAGGCAGGATCTCACTAAGTTGTTTAGGGTCTTCCCAAGTTGCTGGGGCTGGCTTTGAACTTGTGGTCCTCCTGCCTTGGCCTCCCAAGCTGCTGGGATTACAGGTGTGCCCCACTGAGCAGGGCTCCTGCAGGCTTTTGAAAGAGATGATTTTGAATTCCTAATCAGGATTACCAAAATGAGAGTTGTTGTGGCTGATTTTAGTCACAAGGTCAGAAAACAGGCCAGGGTGAGTGATAAATATGACGAAGCAGGATTTATCAAAACATGAATGTCATCTCTCTTTCCTGCAGAGAATTTTCTCTTTGCCTGCTCGGGCTTGGGCCACCCTTCTGCAAACTCTGTCTCACAAGACTGGGGTGGAAGGAAAATGGGTTGTTCTTGCTTCCTTAGCTAGCTCCTGGGTTCTCCTCCATGGTGGAGAATCAGGATAGCCAGCCCAGCAGAAAGGAATCTGATTGACCACCAGGCCTGATGAATGTGCCCGGTGAGAAGCTGGGACAGTGGAGGGGAAAAGGAGGCAATAGCTGAGGGCTCAGAGTCTGGGAACTTTGACACAACTGGCATGAGAGACCCAGAGGAGAAAGGGGGTCCTTCCGTGTCCTTTTAGGCTAAGAATTGGGCCCCTGTTGATATTCTCTGCGAGAGGCAAGTAATGATTGGAATTAAAAATTACTTTTAGTTGTCATACATTTAAAAAATGGAATCCCACGAATAACAGAGTAGATCATATGGCGTCTGGATTATATTTGGTTTATATACAAGATCTCCCTGAGGGCTGGAGCAAGAGCTCAGTGGTAGAGCACTTGTTGAGCATGCGCGAGGCCCTGGGTTTCATCCCCAGCTCTAGGGTCGAGGGGTTGGGTGGGGGGAGCTCTTTTATAACAGAGCTCTCTGAGGCTAACACCGGGAAATGTTAAGAGGGTTTTACAGGGCTGGGGATGTGGCTCAAGCGGTAGCGCGCTCGCCTGGCATGCGTGCGGCCCGGGTTCGATCCTCGGCACCACATACCAACAAAGATGTTGTGTCCGCCGAAAACTAAAAAATAAATATTAAAAAAAAGAGGGTTTTATAAACCATGGACTGAGCCCCTGCACCAGTGTCCTCTAAAGTGAAGTATCTAGAAGAGAGTGGAACTGGCTTCTTGCAAAGTGAAATTGAAGTCTCAAAAGGAGAGTGTGGAAGAGGCCAGCGGGGGACGAGAGAGCTAAAAGTGCTAGAACTCTGAGAGATTGACTACAGCCTGGGTAGACTTCTGACAGGACGGTGAGGTTCTCACAGAAGAGGTGGCTGCTAAACCCCAGGCCAGCATCCTGAGAAGGCCACTGCTCCTGGCTCCCTCCCTCCCCAGGGAAACTTCGATGCCTGGGATTGGGGCAAAAGATAAAAGATCTCTCAAAACTTGATACTGGGCTAGAAAAGGAAGAACTCAAACGGAGGTCAGGCTAGGACTCTAAAGGTATAGCCTCTTAATTTTTTTTTTTTTGGTGTAGTGTTAGGCATTAAACTCGGGGCTTGCATATGCTAGGCATGGGCTCTTCAGCTGATCTATACCCCCAACCCCTTTTAAAATTTTTATTTTGAGAAAGGGTCTCACTAAGTTGCCTAGTTGGGCTTGAACTTTCGATCCTCCTGCTTCAGCCTCCAAGTAGTTGGGATTACAGGTGTGCACCACCATGCCTGGTTCTGTTCTCTGCATTGACTGTGGAAATACTCCCTTTTGATTTGCCAGCATTTCTGTTTATCAGATAAATTCACACATGGGATTTCAATCGCATAACAACACTTAGGTATTTATTGCCCTTATTCTCAGTAAAGAGGTGGCAAAACGGAGGTTCAAAGAGGTGATGTAATGTACCCAGGGCTGCACAGC